AGCTTAAGAGTACAATACTGAAATTAAAAACATTGGGACATAAATTGCAACCATAGAGCGAATGGTTCGTGAAAATCTAGCGTATTTGAGTTGTTTTGCTTCTGAGTGTAATCTGTACAGCTTGCTTGAGGAGTCAAATGAAAAATTTGATCTAACTTACATTCCTGAAGTCGACAGTAAAAGGTCCCAGATATGCAACCACGCCTGAGGACAGAAGCACATCGCCAGTGATCCTGTCGTATCTGTCGCCAAGCACACGCGCAGCTTCGGTCCAGCGGTCTTTCTCGCCACCCAGTCCCCCAATCAGTTTTTCTGCTCGATCTAGCTTCTGTTCGCAAATCAGAATGTTATGTTCCAACTCCTTCTTCTTGTTGGTCATAACGTCGAACTCATCATTCAATGCTTGAAGTTTATCAACGACCTTAGAAGGGAAGAAAACATCAAGGAAATTATAAACGCAGAAAGTGATTAAGATTTAAAATCAAAGTTTCGATTAAATAAACAAGAACAAGAACAATCTTCATTTGTACTCTCTATTCCCACAATTATTGAATACGTTGTTACAAGTAAAATTAGAGTACAGGCTGCCTGGAATTTACATAAACTATTCGTAAGTACATAGCTAAATGGCCCTAGTCAGCCACACCTTTGTTTTCGTTTACATGCGAGAGTTTGGCTGTTATATTTTATTTGGGCCATGTCGAAACGATGGAAATCACTGTGAAACTACTAACGATAATTAAACATATTTTCAGGAACACAAATTACAGTACAGCAATACGATTTCGGTTCACCATGCAATATGAATAATTCCGATGGCATCGCAAATGGCGGAGGCTGACTAGGGTCTTTTATGTAACACATCCTCAACACCCAAGGAATATAATCTCCGTATTTATTTCTTTAACTTGTTATGAAGATCTTCCTAACTTTCTCACTACCCACACAGGCCACAGGACAACAACATGACGATTATAGCATTTCATTTAGTTCCCTACATGAAGTATAGAGAGCCGACAGTACGACACTAACTAACCTCCTTGAGTTGAGCTCTTTTGGCATTTAACTTCTCCATTTGTACTGCAAGTTCTGCTTCTGCTTCAGCAAGCTTTAATTTCTTAGGAGCAACAACCTATAAGAGAAAAACACAGGAAACTAAATCACAGACGGATAAAATAACTTTCCATCCTGGAACCTATAAGGTTGCATCGTTAGTTTACCACGTTATGTCCATCACTGGATGTCGAAAGATTACTCAAGAACTCAAGACAAGTTCACAAACTTGTGGTCATAACAAATTGAAAGAAAAAAACAACATCATTCAGGGCCTTTTACATCTTCAAAAGAGTCCACCACTCGAGATATTTAATGCATTAAATGCAAATTTGATATTGTTAATTTCTGAGAAAATTGAAAGAACCCTTTAGTCCCCGTCCACACTACGGCGGAGGATTTTGAAAACGCAACGATGACCGGTCATTTTGTATTTGTGTTTGAGGAAAACTCGGTCAGGGAAATCACGTGATTATCGTGACGTCATCGTTTTTGAAAAGTTCCGTTTTCATGAAAATGTTTTCCGTCCACACGAAAACGCAAAGCCGGCATTTTCAAATTCCTCCGGTTTGAAGGGCGTTTACGAAAAGCTCCGTTTTCGTGACGGATTAGTGTGGACGGTAGGCCTAACTGTAGAAATAAAGCTGCGTTTTCAAATTCCTCCGGTTTGAAGAGCGTTTACGAAAAGCTCCGTTTTCGTGACGGATTAGTGTGGACGGTAGGCCTAACCGTAGAAATAAAGCTGCGCTTTCAAGTTCCTCCGGCGTAGTGTGGACGTTGCCTCAGTCCTTTGCTGACGCGGTGCGACATCAGGTAATTTTTCCAATATGGAGGAAAGGAGCGTTAATAGCCAACAAACGTTGTTTAGTGGTTTTGTTAATGGACCTACCTTAGCTACTCTCTCGTAGACTTCCATGGCACGAACCCATCTACACAATCCTTCACAGGCAGAAGACACTGACCGGATGTTGTTAGGATCAAAATCAGGGTTGGTTACATACCTTAAAGACGAAGAAACAACAACACAAAATATTGATTTAATTCTCAGTTAATGATTGAAAAAGTGAAACGGGCTGCACTGTTGCCATTATTAGGCTGGGTCTGACATTGTTTAGAAAACGGACAGCGAAGAGAAATGACAGAACGACATCAGAACCAGATACAATTGATAACCGTAACTAGTACAGTAGACGCTCTCTTAACGGGCGTTCGTAAGCGGACAGCTCTACTAACGACCACCTTCACAAACCCTGTTTGAACTCCCTTACAAACTCTGTATTTATTCCTTCCCGTACACGGCCGCAGACACTTTGAGGGCTTACGATTTGGACTTTTCCTTTGTTTTTAAGCTTCCGTGAGCGGACACCCAAAAGATATTGGGCCTGACTATGAAAGATACCCATAAACATTTGTAAGTATCACTGCATTTTGTTGCAGTGAGACTGTTAATGTTAATGTTGTTCTATAATCACCATACTCCAGTATACAGCACCGTATACAGTTACCGCCATTATCGCGGCATTGCATAAGGCAATAAAACAACAAAATCATTTAACACGGTGGTATTTTTTTGCATTCCCAATGTTTAGTGTTAGCTGGGGAAGCTCCCGTAAGCAGCCATCTATCCTTTACACCTTTACAGACCGTTTACGAGAATCATTCTCGTAGTCCTCAAGTTCCAGTTACGGACACTTTTTTTGAGTCCCGAGGATGTCCGCTTAGGAGAGCTTCCACTGTATATAATTTCTACTTACTTTTCTCTGATCTTTTTAATAATAGCAGCTGGAATGTTGTCCTTATCGTAAACTTTCAATGATTCTAAGAACTTCATGTCTCCCAACATCTTCTGTGACGGGCCCCAGTAGTCTTCCACCATCCGTCCCGAACCCGAGGGATCGGGTTTCCGTTCGGGCTTAATTCCTTTCATGATACACACGGCTTCCATGACCAGCTTAACGGCGGCGGGTGGGTTCTAAATGTAGGTACGCAAGGCGTTAGTAGTTACAAAGACATTTGAACCACAATAGAAAGGGAAGAGGCATGGGAATGAATGTGAAAAAAAGGATTAACTGAACGCACTACCTGAAGATGTGAAAATGTAGATCAAAATGAGTGTTCTAGAGCCCAACACAAAATTTTAAAGGACAAATGGAGATAAGACAGTAAACAAATCATAACTCGACGCAAAACATGTAGCCTGGAGCCAACTGCGGGAAAACCAAAATCGACGCAAGTCACGAATAGTAATATCTTTGTTCCTGATTGGCTAAAGAAACAGTGTGTTTGTTCTGATTGGTCGAAGCACGTTGCACGGAGATTGAAACCAATAAGAGGGACCAGCAAACGACCAAACCAAACACATCATTACTGTTGAAAAATCAACTGAAGCTGAATTGCCCTAAATAAATGCATATAGAAAATAAAATAAAATCGTAAAAATCTATGCTAATTAAGATCAGATATCCAAACACTGTCACGGGCATGATTTCCTTTGTTTAAACTTGATGAATTATTAATGAGTTCAATAACACAAGTTACCTTCATAGTTTTGACCATACTAATGTCACTGGGCTTGAGTGTATTCAGAGCCTGCATGGCTGCTTCCAGTGCCGGCATGGCTTCAGCCAGATCACTCTCACATTCATCTTTGATGCCTTTTGCCACTGCGGCAGCTTCACTGGCTACCGCCTCATCTGCTGCTACCACCTGCCATGAAACAAAGAAACAAAATTGATTTATTCATATCTTCTTATTACCTCTTTATAACAAATTAAAGCAGTCACTTAGTGAGAGTATGGATTCTCGTCATCTTAAGTAGCGGCACGTTGATCAAACAAGAAATTTGTCCGAGGCAAATCATGGCAAAATCATTTGGATCAGTTTAAAAGCAAGTTAGAGAAAATATATAGGTTGATTTCTTCAACCTAGAGACTGCGAGAGCATCCAGTTTTTTCGGCTATTGTTTTGTCGGCGCGTGAAACAAGAGCCGAAAAAAACTGATGCTCTCGCAGGCTATTCTGTTTGCGAACGCATGGAAGTGAAGAGAAACAAATTAACCCTGCTACAATATAACTCTCACCTCTTTTTTCGCCTCCACTTCCACCGTGTCCTGTTCAATTTTAACCATCAGCTTTTCCGTTTCCGCCGAAGTCTTAATCAGTTCCGGTTGCAGATCACTTAGCTCCTGTTGCATGACGGACACCTGGGAGGAAGCAAAGTCCAGTTTTTCCAGACCAGTGACGTAACGTTGTTTAAGAGTCATGATCTCCTGGCGTTTGATGTCCAGAAGTTTCTTGAACGTCATGATAAGTTCCAGGTACGATGTAGGCGTCACGTAGTTTCGACGTCTCAAGGACTGGTAAAAGCTGTGCAAAAACAGGAGAAAGAAAATGTTGCCAAAACGATAACATGGTAAAGCATTGAGATCCAAAACATCTTACAAACATTTCAAGAATTTTTTTTCCGGTGCTCAATTTTAGTGATCTAAGCTCTCGATTCGTACACTTGAAGAAGCTCACTTACGGTGCTTTGAGTTATTTTGGCCAAAATAACCTTTAATTGAAGGTAGTTTACTAAGATAGAGAAACCCTAAAGACATAACAATAAACCACAAAGGAACAAGGATGGTTAAGGATGGAGAAGATTAACACGGATTACAAACGACGAACTAGAAAAATTTAAGCTTAACTCTTCAAGATGCGCGAACCGTGAGGTAGCTCCTTTCAATGATTTTGAATCAATGGGAAAGAGCATCGTACTTGTTATCGGAGCTAAAATGCGTAACCTGCACTGCGTGCCTTCTCTATAGTTACTGGACTAGAAACAAAACCAGGATCGCAAAACAAATAAAATTTTAAGGCTGAAACAAGGTTACGCAGGTTTATCCGCACATCAAAGTTTTTTTTGTTATTGATAGCTCCTAAACTAGAGTTCGGCCTCCTATTTTCTAACCTTGGCTATGCGGAAAAATCAGTCTATCCAAATACATAACAGACCATCGTAGATTAATTATTTTGATCCTTAAGTGTTTGAAACAGTATAAGACTCAAAATAATTAATCTACGAAGGCCATTAACAAGTCAGGGAAAACCAATGTATAACACAATTAAGGCGACTTGAACAAATCGCGAGTTTCATCTGTCTTTTTAAACAAGAATTTCGAACAGCAGGAACGACTGGCTGTCGTGACATGCCACCAAATACCCAGAATTAACATTAAAACAGTTGTAGACAATCAAGAAAACACTGTCACCTTCAGACTGAAGCAAAGAAATAAGCTGATAAGAGACTGACCTGTCAGACAATTCTCTGACGCTCTCGTGGAAATACTTGCACATGAAGACACACTCTTTGCGAACCTCATGCGTCATGTCCACTTCTTCAAGGAATTTATTGGCCACCATCTCCAGCGCATCCTCAGGCCAAGCCTGTAGTATAAGAAAAACATTCCTTAGAAAAACTCATTACTATAAAACAACAATATTCAATTATAAATGTTAAAATACACAAAATTTACAAAATGTTAATGAAAATTATACTTGCAGATGTACTAGTAATGAGCCCTGTGTTATCACTGTCTTTCGCAGATCTCAACTGTATGAAATTACTCCAAGTATTACGCACTGGGAATTATAACATTTTCGCTACGTTTTCTGTACTGTTTCAGATATACGATACAATCTAAAGTAAAAGCTTCATAATTAGGGAAGACGGACAGACGCCAAAAAATAAAATGAATCTCTTACATTCCTAAGAATCTTTCCAAGAATTTTACACGTTGACTTGAAAAGCAAACTTTGTCTGGAACTAGGCTGGAAAAAAATCCACAAGAAGAGAGAACCTCAAACGCGACCTAAACACAATGTTTATTTTAACGTGGGGCGTCCTCTTTCCCTTTTAAGATCCCCTTTTAGCGATACAAGAAAGCATACATATGTTGACTGAAGGGGACAAAGTTTTACCTGGAACCAATCGATAGTACAGCAGTTGATTAGTGAAGGAAACATTCTCATTCGGCTTCTGAAGGCATCACCGATGGGACTCATAGCCAACACCACGTGAAGATTTGCTCGAACGCGCTCAATGAAGAAGTTGTACATCGCCAGAGGGGTAGCGTCAATTTTCCGGCCCTAAGAGACAGAGAGAGAGAAAAGTGAAAGCGTTACAGACGTTTGTGAACATGACGTTACCTTCCCGGAATGATGTCTTGCTGTACGGAAAAAAAAATGATTAAATACGAAAGGAAATGACAAATGTTATCTTAGAAAATGGTGACGTTGTTTCATTGAGAGAAGCGACCTTTTTACTGCCGTGCTTTTTTTCGTTAAAACTCTTTTGAAGGACATAGGTTTGGAGCGGTTACCGCCTTCGAGACATGGGATTTTTTCGTTGCAAAAGTCACAAGAACGTTTTGCTGTCGTCACTAATAAAAACCACAACTGAACGTGCGCGCACGTCAGTGCTTGGCAGCGCGCGCGCTCGCGCAGCTAGTAGACTGACTGATAAAGGCTGCTGTATTTACAATCTATACAATTACACAAAACGTATCATTATACGCACTGGGGTTTTACTCACCTCTACTCTAGCTACTGTCTGCATCTTTTCAATAACATCAGCCTTCTCGTCAGCGGGGAAGATGTTAGGTACATCACCAGTATTCAAAATCATGTTAATGTCTTCCACAAATGACTCTTCCTTAATCTGATTATCACTGAACAGAAACACTGTCTGTTTACCGTCCACACCTGCCTTGATCAACATCTAAAGAAACAATGACAAAGGGAGTATAGAGTGAGTTCAAACATAAGGAAGGACTTAGAGAAAGCGTTTATAAAGGAACTAGGTCCCAGGTTTTGCGTATCTTGAAAAGGTACGGCTAATTTTTTCAAGTTCGTCGTTTGTAATCCGTGTTATTATATGGCTAGTTCCGTGAGCGGGCAAGATGAATCAAATCCTGCGCTGTGATTGGCTACCCGAGCGGGCAAGGTCGTTGATTAAGGTCATCATCCTCAAAAGATCAATTAAATCTGTGAAATGGAAAACCTTTTCGTGCTTGCTACGTTTAGGACTTTCTTTTAGGTGGAAACGGCTAACAGCACACCACAAAAATGAGATTCACGTCGTTCGTAGATAAAATGAAAACGTGGTGCTAAATTGCTTGAATGTGACAATTTGACGAATGTAAAGGCAAACTAGCCCGACAAGCCATTACTGATACCTTTTTGACGTCTTCTCTCCATTCACTCTTGGTGTAGTTTCGCGTGATTTCAATCTGGAACAGATCATAGTCCGCCATGAAGGTGGCTAAACGTGTGGCACTCTGACGACCGCTTCCACCGATACCTGGACACAATGCAAATAAAGCGGTCATAAATAAAATCAGAAGTTTACAAGCATTATACGCTTCTGCTAAAACTTTGAAGCATATTCAACAAGAACTACCAAAGTCGTAATTTTTTAATGATTACATCAATAATCCTTCATCAAATTTCTGCATTAAGGTCAGGTGTCAAAGAAATTCTCCGTTCAAGTCTTGACTTTTACAATAAGAGGCCAGACATGTCACGGTATGTGAAATATTTTATATTTTTGACTGAAAAACTGCTTTTAAATTAAGGAAAAACTCAACATAAAGGCTAACTAGGCACGAAACGCTAACGAGGTAATAAAACATAAAAGAACAAGAATTTTCTGGATTAGAGCAGGTTACAAATGACAAACTTGAAAAATGTAGGCGTACTTTTTCAAAATATACCATGCATAACTACATGTAAGCTCCTTTAATTTGCCCGCAATATTGGGATAGGATAAATACAATACAGTCGAACCCCTACTAGGCGGCCAGGAATCAAAGTCCCGATGAGGGCTTTTCAATTGTTTTTACTTCTGTTAAACGGCCGGCCTCTTTTAAGCGGCAACTATCCATTTCCCCGAGGGTGGCCGTTTAATAGGGGTTGTACCGTAGTGTATAATCTGCCTCCGTTTAGGTTCTTTTCACGAGACTACGGAGAGTAATTAATATCGTGCTTACCAACAAGTAACGCGTGTCCATTGTCCTGCTTCAACACTCGAGCGACACGTGAGATGTGTTCAATGGCAAACTTGAACATGACAAGAGACATAGGTGTCTTGCTCATCTGATTAAATTCATCAAGATACCTACAAACATACAATCAGAGCATGTCATATATGGACAAGGAAGTTTGGGAGTGAAGATCGAGACGACGAAAAGCCCTCTACTGCAGACTACATTTAAACCATTTAACTTGCACACGGCACGTAAATTAAAGTCGATGAAGGAAAACTGCCATTCTTCGTGACAAAATTAGCTTGCGGCGCTCGAAATCCCGGGCTAAAATTCCATTCTGTCCCATCTCCAAGAGTTCATTACAAGTTCAGTGAGTGTACTCAATCTTCCACTCGTATACTTCCGCATTCTATGATGTCCAAGTTATTTTATTCATTACCAAGACTCAAACTAAGGCTCTCCAATGTGATTTCATATTATCCATCTCACACTGTAGATTATGCTCAAAAAGGTGTGGTATGAAACGAGCTAAGTTGGAATCCTTTGTTCTCTTCTTCAATGTGATAAGTTTTCATTGTCTCAGCGACTCTGAGTAGTCCCCCTACTAGACATGACGACCGCAACGAAAAAACCAAACATCTTCAGTGTTCCTGTGCATTGAATACTCACCCTTCCATCTGTTGTGTCAGGTGCGCTAAATCCGTGACTTCGTCGTAGATTCTCTCAGCACTATCAGGGACCATGTAGTCACCGAAAAATAAACTCCTGAAACAAGAAATACCATAAAATGATCAACACTACACTAACCACATCACCAGAAGAAGAAAAGTTTCAAAAATGTAAATCAAATTGTCCAGACAAACAGAAATGTATTTACGGTCGTCTTCAAAGATGTATTGTATGCTTAAATATTAACAGATGTTGACATAGGGTACGGCGTTACAACTTAAAACATACAGATGTAATCCTCGATGCATTTCGTGAAGGCATAAGAAAACGAAAACAATTGTTTCATATTCAAATACGAAATAGTGTTTTTTTTTTTTTCAAGATCAAGACATGGAAAAACTAACAATTTCGTTGGGAAATACAAGCAGAAGACAATTCTGGATTAAAAGAAGCAATTTCCTGATTCCTGTGATGTAAGCTATCTAGAGTACTTTCTACAATAACAGTACAAATGAGTCAGGAAAATTGAGGGCTCAACAATGTTTTCGACTATTGTCAGCAAAATACTACCTGATATGATCGTCCTTGAGTTTTTGCCCTGTAGGTACAATGTGCTCCAGCAGACTGTCCATGTCTTTCTTGAACTGCTGTTTCGTCGTCTCTTTCATCATGTCAAAGAACATGACTCGATCATTGCTGTCAATCAGTCTGTCATAAAACACGCGATACACCTCGTGGATCCACAGTCGGATCAACTTGTCTCCCTCCTGAAGGTGCGTGGAGGGAACGAGGAGCACGCCAAACACGACACGCGCGAAGTCACGCAAGTTAAACACGTAGTGCGACTTGCTAGGAGTAGGGAGGAATTTCTCCACCACAGACTTGTACACGTGCATCGTGGCCTGGACAAGAATCTGTAAAGAAAACAAAGCGAGAAAAATTGCAGCCTTGAGTAAGTAAGTAAGCAGTTGGCGTCCGCAAGCTCGGAAATGACCAATTTCCAAACAATATTCAGCATGGGTAAGGTATATACTGAATAGATCTAGATAACTGCACAACTCTGAAGTAAAAAAAAATCTGTAAAATATATAAACTTTTCCGCCGCGCCTCCTGGACTAACTTGATTCTAGTTGGCTGAGAAATGAAAATATCAAAATAAAGAAAATTCTCTTTCTTTGGGTATTCTTCCTTGATTCAGAAAATAAACGTTTTCCTGGTTTACGATTTAATGAACTTTAATGACACATATTCAAAACTACCCTCGACAGCGACTCAGGCAGGGAAAGGAAAACTCAGCTTTAGATCACGTGATCACGATCACATGAGTCAGCTGCAACGACAACATAGTATAACTGCTCAGTGACAGAGAGAAACCCCATAGACGGCGTGGCCTAGTGGTTAGGGCGCTGGATTTATAATCCGGAAGTCCCGAAGTCCACAAGATGGATTTGTGTTTGGTGTTCCCAGATTCAACTCCTCCACGCTTTGTAAATAGCCAACTGGTCAGCCTCCTACCAACCGGGATTTTTAACAAGTTTCTGTTTAATTTACGATATTTGTTTGCTTATTTCAGTGTCCACAATTAGTACAGCAGAGCTAAACCACTTTGACACTTAACTAAAGTGATTTATTATTTATTATTATTTATATCAAGATAAAATACCTAGGCTGCCTAATCTACAGGGCCCCTCACCAGCAAGCGATAATGACGAATCTTACCTTTCCCAGCCTTCCAAAGGACGCGTCAAATCCTTTAGCAAAATGCCAGTCAACAATGGAGGTGAAGATTTTAGTCATGGTGTTGTCATCAAACGAGTCAATGGATATGATATTCGTGTGTCGGGTGAATCGATCTGAGATGTCATTACGGCCTCCACCGGGGGGACCCATGGCAGAAACGAAGAGCTGAACGAAACACGGAAACAAGAAATATGAATAACTCACAACAGCTAGTTTATCTTGCCTGGTACAAAGTTTAAAGAGAACAACCACTTGCGATATCCAAATGGTGCAGCTGAACTTTGCAGCAGAACAAGTAGAACAGTGTGTGGTCTCAACTACATGTAGATGACAACATCCATTCCCCTTGTAACTGAAACTTCCCACACAGGCAAAGTGGATTTCATTAACAAAGTAGCTCTACACAGTGTGTAGACCACCAGCTTTCAAGCAATTTAGGGAAAGCTAGCAAACGTCTTGCGCTATCGGCTATCATTTTAGGCAAGAGGAAGTTGAAAGGCTGTGCTCTAAATACATCAATGTTAAATTAGTTGGGGTAAGAATATGACACTGTCATATTAACTCAAAGATTCACAACCTAGAACGAACGAACGAACAAACAAAAACATGCATGCTTACCATGTCCATCAGTTCCAGTTTAGAAGTGTCCTTACGGTCATACCAGTGAGAATGATCCAGCCACTGACGAGAAAATTTAGAAAAAAAACCCAGTTATTTATCAAGCAAAATACGCACAACAGTCTGACAAAAGAAGTTATTACAGAACAGCACGTCATGTAACAATTAACTTGTCCTAAAAAGGGTGGTTCTCGAGAGCTTCGGTATTTCTGAACATGGGGCGCTTCCCATTCAACCTAAAATTCCGAGTTGCATTTCCGGAAATTTCCAGTGGCGAATGAAACAACATTTTTCTCAATATCTAAAAAAGAGGACAACCTCGGGAGCTAAAGCCAAATGTACGAACATTTCTTTCCGGGAAGTTTGTTCCATTTGAAGTTCAACCGGAATTTCGGGAATTTTCGGTAGAATGGTTCGCATTTCGGAAATTTAACACTTTTCGAATCCTTTCCGATGAAATTTCCGTCGTTAAGTAAGTTCCGGAATGTTTGGTTGAATGGAGAGCGCCTATAGATTATATTTCTACACATAACGTGTTTTACATGAATAATGTATGACTGACCAGGGCTGGTTGAACGTGCGCATGGCAGATAGTAACAGAAAAAAGAAATTGCTGAGTCAAAGGAGAAACCCATTCCTTGGTCTCTCGTAATTCTCCATCTGGAGGTCAGTTGGGATCCCCTTTTGCAGAATGTTTTGACCCAGCAGTTTGGGTCGAGGTAGCTAAGAAACATGATGAATCAGTGAGTACCCTAAAGACCTCAAGGTGGAAGGGCAACCTACAAAGTAATCATGCTACTTCTGATTGGATAGTACGAGTCGCGCTTTAGGAACTTCGAAGAAGATTTGACGAAGACCTAATGAACTTAAAATCTCACCTGTCTCAATAACTCGATGGGAGGCTGGGCACCATACTTCTCCTTGGACGGCATGTTGAGATCATCGACAAACACAACGCATTTCTTGCCGGGAGGGGGACCGTACACTCCTTTGCGACGCCTGTTAAAAAACCAACTTTATCAGGTTTTGCCACAGTAAATCGCAAAATCCCAAAAATACCTTCTGGTTTATTTCGTTCAAAATGTTCTTTCGGTTGGCCTATTTATCGGAAAGAATTCGTGTTGCAAAAAAATGGCTGTGTTTATATTTGGAAGGGACACGAATCAATCTCCACAGGTCAATTGCACATTAACGTAACTTGTGAAGAAAGTTCTGTAAAAAGCTTTACAGTAGGGGCGTGTGGTATTGGGAGCTAAATCTCATTTGGTTCAAACAGCAGGCATCTTGAGACCCACAGCGACTTTTCAAACCTGGTGATTACGCTCTTTTGGTAATCAGTTTTTACACCAATCAAATGGTCAGCAACAGGCAGGAGTGAGGAGTCTGGGAACGA